TTTTTTTTTTTTTTTAAACAAAGAAAGAAAACCAAAAACTTCTCCCGTATATCTATTTTTGAACTAACGTGAATATAGTAGACTATGGAGAAGCAAAGCAATCCCCACTTTGTTCCGCACGTGTGGTGGTTTACATGGCTCAGTTTCTGTCCTGCTGTGTGCAAACACGCCGCTCTAGGTCGCATGGACCAGCAGAGTGTTTTGTAGGTTCCTTGACTGCTGGTGGGTTTCCATCTGGTCTGGTCGTGACCGGTTTGTCGCACGACTGCCAACCATGCTGAAGTTCAATGCAGAGAGAGTAAAAAGACAGGCTCTGGCGAGGGAGGTCGAAGAGTTGCGTAGAGAATGCGCAAGGTTGAGACTGCTCGCGGAGAACAGGGAGAAGGAGACCCACAAACTGAGAAGGTGAGTTATGGGACCACGAAAATGTCCTCTCGGTGCCAAACTTTACTTTTGACAAAACGGCGAAAATTTGACCAGTAAATACTAAATTGTGAATTGTCATCATACCAGTGCACTCTTTATGACTTAGAAATTTTTTTTTTTTTTTTTTTTTTGGACTTAGAAAATTCAAAATTCTAACTGGATGTGCGTAAAGCATACTTGCGGCGCATCACGTGCGCGCCGCTTGCGCACATGCGGCGCACTGCGCATTGCGCACGTGGTGCGCCGCAAGGGTGAAAATTGGAGTCGACCAAAAAAAAAAAAAAAAGTCGAAGTTTCCCCGCCCCAGGAAAAATAGCAGATGGGCTGCGGAATTTTCTTTTGTGCCCGCGCTCTGCCCCAGAAAACTGTGTTGTGTTTCATGAGTTCCTTATTCCAAGTATGCGAGTCGTTTCGGTGGTCCGACACAGTCATGATGAGGAAATGTCCTGCTCTGTGGTACGGTCGACTTGCTCTCAGTATTTCTAGAAATAGAAAACAACAAAACAGACAGGCCTTTTCCCTTTGGCAATTTGCTATAAAAAAAAGGGAACAAAAAACATTCGTAACTGCAACTCGGGAATGTGCCCAATGCAATAACGTGGAAGTATACACCTGTGATGACCCATCCAAACATGGACTGAAACACACAGCTGATTTCTGAGTTTTGCCCATAGACTGAATGCCCTGCTGAGTTTCCCGCTTGCTACTAAGTCTGTGTGTGCACGCTTGCTGGACTGCATGTCTGTCTGAGTGCTGGTTGGCTTGAGTGTGTGTGTGGCCGTGCCTGTCTGAGTGCTGGTTGGCTTGAGTGTGTGTGTGGCCGTGCCTGTCTGAGTGCTGGTTGGCTTGAGTGTGTGTGTGGCCCGCAAGGGCACTTGCTCGTTCATTGGGCCCTCAGGGCCGGTACTTACCTGTGGCCGTGACATTGAGGGATTGCAGCATGAAAAACATTCAAGTAGCGGGTAGGCCAGTACCGGACCCTGAAGGGGTAGATGTGTGGGTACTGGAGGCCGAGCAGAAGAAGACAAAAGTGGCATTTTTTAGAGGCCCAGTAGTTGTAGGTTAGGTCTAGGTGGATACCAGTCCAACCAGTCTGGGTCTAGGGCCTGTACGGGCAATATCAGAGTCTGCAATGATGTTTCCCTCCGAAAGGGAGGAGGTACCGGTTGCTTGGAAGGCTGAGCGGCCTGGAAGTCACCGCCCGAAGAGGCAAGCAGGCCGCTATATCTCCCAGCTGGGCGAAGAGCCCGGCCTCTTTTTCGGTGTGCAAGTTTGGCAACACACTGGTTGGAGCGCCGGCTGGAGCAGCGCTATGCTGGAGCAGCGCTGCTGGGGAGGAAGGAGAAGGACACGAGGGAGGAAGAAGGAAGGAAGGGGGAGGAGCGCCAGGGGTACTTACCTGGCTATGGTGGCAGCCATCTTCATCACCTTGGTGGGCGCTGCAGCAGGGAGTCCCCAACTGGGGAGAGCCACACCAGGAAGCTTCGAGGCAGGGTCAGGCATGGTGGCCTGAGCTAGAGCAGCCATAGCTGCTTTGGGTTGTCCTTTGGGCATCTGGGCAAGGCCTAGTAGTCCGCCATAGCCTCGGCCTATGAGAAGTGAAGAGTGGGAGAGGCGGCCATGGCTATGGTGGACCTCAAGTGATACCTGCAGTAGAAGAGGAACTCGGACATTGATTCTGGATCAGCCATTCAACATTGTATTATTATTTCTTGTATGAATAAGAGAAGGGGGAGATAAGGAGGAGGAGATTGTTGGGCGAAGCAGAAGAGGCTTGTCATTTGTCTGTGCTGGTGTACATCATCTTCTTCTTCTTTCTTACTTCTTCTTCTTCTTCTTCTAATCCTCTCTCTCCTCTCAAGTTCATTCATTTCTTTCTGCAATTGGACGTCATTGTACTATCTGATGGATGTGTATCTCGAAATGGGCCAGGATCATAACACACCCGCCCTTTCAAGTCCCGTACAGTCATGGTGAGGTGAGCTCTGAAGCGAAGCCCTCACCTGCCGCCAGAATCTGTGAGGGCACGATGTTTCCAACTACCTCTGCCAGAATGGGACAGATAAGGGCCTCGTTCCATCACTCACGAACTGTGCATAATGAATTGCCCCTAGAACATGGAAAGATACATCGACAATTTTTTTTTTGTCTCTTCACTGGCCATCTGTCAGATTCCATCGGGCCGTGAACTGTTGAAATACAGGCCTGAGTGTTATGGCCGGTATAGGGCCTGGCTCCACTACTCACGCCATGTGCAAGTTTGGAATGAATCTTCCGCTAGAACATGGGAAGATACACCACCATATTTTTTGTCTTTTTTGCATATGGTGTGTAGTGGAGTGAGGCCCAACCTCACATGCCCGGTAAAGGGCTTCGCTCCACTACTTGCCACATGCACAAAAGACGGAAAATATGGCGGTTTATCTTCCCATGTTCTAGTGTCGGATTCATTCTCCATTTGCACCTGTCGTGAATAGTGGAGCGAGGCCCACATCTTCGCTGACATCAGGACTTCTTTTCTTTTTTTGGATGAAAAACACGAACAGGCCGCCCTTCCCGTGAAACACAATACCAAAATGAAAACACAACGGGCCTCCTAACACACACACACACACACAAAAGAAAAAGAAAAAGGGGGCACATCCCGCAGTGCGCGCATGGGGCCCTGTCACTCGTACCCTGCGCACTGCCCATGTGCGCACGTGCGCGCTCATCGCTCATGGGCGCATGGCGCACCTCACACGTGCACCACAAGTATGGCGTAAAGCCTTAAACTTTAGAAAAGGGAATAACACCGGGATAACCCTGGAAAAACACCTTTTTTTTTTTTTTTTTTTTTTTTAAGCACCATCTGAGTTTCGGAAATGCAAAGAAGAAGTGCTCATGTGCATAGGGAGGAAGGTGAGGAGGGGGAGGAGGCGGAGGAGAAGGAGGAGGGCAAGAATGTTCGGCCCAGTTTGAACTTTGAAGTGAACTGGACCGGCTATGGACCAGGTACCTGAACTGTTGGAAAATGAACCGGCCCGCTTCCTGAAAAAGTTAGAAAAACAGCTGCTTTTTTGAAGTCAGATGCAGGAGACTCAACTTTTTTTGTGCTGTCCGAAACCTTTCTCGCATTCCCAGTTTTGGGCAGTCGGTTTTTTGGCTGCCTGTACTTTTTTTTTGCGTTCCAAAACTCAGATGACAGGCTATGATTTGTGGAGGGAATGAGAGAGAGAATTTGGGGTGCTTTTTTAAGCACACACACACTGAACGCCCTTGCGTTGGACCGATCCTCCCTGTCGTCGTCTGCCCATAGAGAAGGAATGAATACTGAGGAAACCCAAGAAAGGTGCTCCATGCCGCTTTGTGATGACCCTCCGGACATTCAACTAGCATGTGGTTCGCATGCCTTGTGCCGTGAGGATTATGAAGGGATAGTCCATGCGAGTTTTTGTTTCCATACGTACGGCGACAGTCAATACTGTACTCGTGTACGGCACCCTGACATGTCATGTCCAATTTGTAGAAAGGGGCTGGAACGGCAATGCCTCTATAATTGCGGTCGACGTGCCTCTGTGTTCCTAGCATGTAGGAGCCACATAGCCTGTGACATCTGTCTGCGCCGTGCCATTCGATGCAGCAACTGTGACTGCGAAAATTGGATGCGGTGCCTCCATAGCCCACACCCGAACCGGTCCTGTTCGGTCTGTAGGGATGGCCACTTGCCATAGGCATTAACTGCTCCTCGACCCACAATTTTTATTATTTTTTGCAACCCTGAGCCATTCTAGAGTAGTCTGTTCCAGCGGTGAATATTTAGAATTCTGCGAAGCTCGTCATACACCTCTCCCCAGCCCTTTGCATGTTATACTCTATCCTGCCCTTCACATATTTCCTTCCTGCCCTTTGCCCCCACCTCCCCTGCCCCATACTCCTATAGAACTCCGTCTTCTGTCCCTTTCCCTCTACCCTCCCCTCCACTCCCTTTGTGCTACTATCAAATACACACGAATGAGTGTCATTAAGAGAACAGACGATATGAAGATCAGAAACGAAATGAACGGAAGTATGAAGATGAAGGACGGACACAAAGACTAAGTATAAGCTGAAGATCTAAAGTGAAAAATGAACAGGAGTATGAAGGCCTGAAGAGAAATGCACAGGAGCATACCTTCCCTTTTACTCTGCCTCCTGAAATAACGTGCAAGTGGGTCGTGAAGGCCCACGGGGATGTGGGCCGCTGCCGCTCAACCACAATCAATGTGGGCAGCCTTGTACGTAAGAGGCACAGTAAAAGGGGAGTTGCAAGAACAATGGAAGGGGTACCCTGAGGACAACCAAAAAACGGTCTAATTAGAAAATTGCTTTAATATGTTGGACTGTGACTGTCTCATCTCAAATGCTCTCGTTGTCTGCAATAGGACAAAGAGTCAAAGACGGCTTTGATTCTGAATCTATTCATCTGGGTGGAATCGGGGCTGTTGTGGGGAAAATCTATAACACACACACACACACACACACACACACACAGACACACACAGACACACACACACACAGACACACA